GGGAAAGACAAGACAACAAAAGATGGGATCATGGGAATTAATAATAATGTGTACCTGGTTTGGTCATGTGAAGTGGAGGAATATAAAGATGGGTGTTTTTCTCTCTGGTTTAGGAGGCCAGAGGATTTTAGATACGACAAAGTAGTGTTATTATTGCCGTTGTTGTTGTTGTTGTTGTTGGTGGTGGTGGTGGTGGTGGTGGTGAAGAAGTGGGAATGTAGTTGTTCCACAGGCTTTCTTGAACGGGGACGACTCTTGTGAGAGTGTCGTTCACAGTATTTTTGGTCAGGGACAACGTTTCTAGAGCACCTCCATTTCTTGCCGTCTGTTCTTCGGCACCTCCATGGTTCTGGGTCCGAGGTGTTTGGGACCCCCAACTCCAAAGATCCTTTAGACCCTTTTTCAAGAAAACAAAAATTTAAAAGAACCCCATTTAGTATTTTTCATTCTACAAATTAACCTTAAAATTACGAAAATAAACAAAAAGAAAGGATTTTTACGGGTATTAGAGTGCAAGTGGGGAAAATTTGGGGTGGTCTTGGAAATGGGTATGAGTAATTGTGGAGGGACAGGGACAGAGGCCATCATGTACTTGTAAATCATGGTTTGTCTCTCAAGCTCTTGCCTTTGAGCTGCTGTGAAATTGGGCACCACAACTCCTCTCACATTTGCATTCACCATAACTCCTGCAACAACCAAAAAAAAAAAATCCATTTCGTAGTGAAAATAATAATAATAAAAAAGGTTATAAAATAAATAAATAAATAAGACAAAAAAAATTTTGGGTTTATTTACCAGAGGAATTGTGGGATATTAAGGTTTCGGCAGAGCAAGGCAATGGCATGAAATCAGTGGAACCGACAACATCGTATATATCGCTCATAGAAGCAACAACATGAGCTTGGTGGTGGTTGTTGGTGGTGGTGGTAGTGGAAAGCAAGGGTCCACTACAAGCGTCACCACCTACACAACCATGTTCTTCACCAAAACCTCCACTGGCGCTGAGAAGAGTAGGCTCATCATCATCATTATTATCATCATGATTATGATGATGATGATGATGATGATGATGATGGGGGGTATCCATCATCGTCGTCGTAATCTTCTTATGACTGAATGATGATGATTTGTTTGATGTCGTTTGCATCCTCAAACCCAACCCAACATCGCACTCTTTTTCTACTGCTCCCTTCTCTGAAGCCACAAACCCAATTCTTGTCCCCATGAAATCAACCAAATAATAATAATAATAATAACACAAAAAAAAAAAAAAAGCTATCTTTCCCACTACCCAATCCAACCCAAAACAAAAAACTTCAAAAGGGTAAAAAAAAGATAAAAAAAAAGAAACAAAAGAAAGGAGAAAAATACACAACCTTAATTACAACCCACGCTAGCTATTCCACTCCTTAACAAGTTTGGCTTCTTTGTCACTCCAAAATCACCAAAAAGAATTCTCTCTCTCTCTCTCTCTTCTCTCTGTGTGTTGATTTTGAATTCTCTGAAGTAACTGAGGGGTTTTTCTTTTCTTTTTATTTTGGGGTTTTTTTTGTTATAGTGAGGCGGTGCCGCCATTTTTAGCCATGCGTTTTTGCTTTTGCTTCCTTAGCTCCCAACATTCGTTCCTCTTAAGGAATACAGACAAAATTTATAATTAAAAAATCCTCTTAAGGAAAAAAAAAAAAAAATTATAAAAAAAAAAAAAAAAAAAAAAAAAAAAAAAACCCACACCACACCACCCAAGATCATGAGGTCCACTCTCACCCCACTCTTCTGAATTTTGACGTTTTCTTCACGTCAAGAATCTTAACAGTATAAAAAACGTTACATCCCTTGTTTTGACTTTTCTCAAAACATTTTCAACACAAAGACAGAGCCCCATTGGCCGTGACTTTGTACTAGAGGCATTGTTTCATGAATTCGGACCATGTTTTTTCTTCTTGACTTAAGTTGACTGACAGTCTCCGTCCAGGACATTTCATTTCATTTTTCCGTTAAACCCACAAATTGTCATGCATTTTCCAGCAAGACAAAAGGGAAATAAACAAATAAATAAAAATTGTCAAGCATTGGGAAACGTGATCCGGGCCCACTTTTTGGTTTCGTGTGAGGATGTGGGGGGACCAGACCAAAGGCAGTGGTAAGTAACCAATTTCTCCTCATTTTGGTCCCATTAGTTTAAAATCAACCACAACAAGATTTGGACCCCCCCACACACAAAATTTGGTAAAACCCAAGCCATTGGGGTTTCAAAAAAACCTTTCTATTTTCCTAGAATGTTGTGTGAGTTTAATACAAATGATATGATGCTAGTAATTGGATTACGGTGATCTGTTATCTAGGTGGATAGCTAGCATAGATATGTATATATATATATATATATATGCTATGTGTGTGTGTGATGTTGACTAATGAAAGTGTATTGGAGTTAACTTAGGCAAAGCCATGTTTCCTACATTATAATATTTTAGTGGTTGCCAGCTGAGTGTAGAAGATATTATGGTTAGCATGCCATGTGTGATGGAAATGGTTTTGAGTATCGTGAGACTGAGGGGGGGTTATTTTTTTAGAGTGTAATTTGAGTGTAATTTTTAAATTGAATTTGAATTATAACTTAAGTTGAAGTTGTAATTTGAATAAAGTTGAAACTTAAAATAACGTTAACTTAAATAAAATTGTAACTTAAATTTAAATTTTTTTTGAGTTTTGTTGCAAAAGAACAACACTGAAATCTTTGGGTTAGCGAAAAGGTGACGTTTTGAGCAACGGAAAACGATAATACAAGGTTGAAGAGAGAGAAATAATTTAACGAGGAACGACAACGTTTCAAGAAAAAGTAATGGAATGAAATTCCAACTTAAAGAAAGAGTGAAAAAAATCAGATCGCAATGGAATGAATAATAGTCCGAACAGTTTAAACATGTGACAGGATTCGATTGAATACCGAAACTTTGTCAAAATTCACTTCTCAAGAACTTAATTATATAGTGAAGAGAATCCATATTCCAACCTTTCCATACCCGTCCAACCTTTCGGATCAAAGGATGTGTTTAGTTAGGAGGAATAGAAAAAAAATGGAAAGGAATCAAGGTTTATTCTTATGTTTGGTTGGTTTTAAGAAAATGAATGACCATTCAAAATGGAATGACTTTTCCATCAAATGGGTGAATCATTATTCCTTCCTCAAATGAGAGAAATGCCCATTCCAAGCTCTTTTAATTTTCTTTTCCATCATTGCCTTTGAATATTATAATTATTATATTAATTTTTATAATATAATTAATATTATATTATAATAATTTATATTATAATGTAATTATATCTTATAACATATAATATAATATATTATAATTATATACGTATATTATAATATATCATAGTTAATATTATAAGATATTATATTTAT